ACAGAGCCCCCATGCAGTTCTCACCCTGGGATCTCCCTTAAGGGTGAGAGGAACCCCCTTCGGGTCTGTCTCTGGAGTCCCCACTTCTAGAAGCACCTGGTAGCAAGGAAGTGTGGAGACCTGCCTGGGCATTGGGAGGATTGCTGGCCCTGGGAAAGGCGGGACCCTCATAGCCACCAGGACCCTCGAGGCCACCTCACCCTGGCCACCTCCGAGCCTGGACAGCCAGAGCCAGAAGCAGAATCCAAGAATTACCAGCCACCCGCTCACCAGCTACTGGCCAGGGCCAGCAAGGCCCTGGGGACAACAGCAGGGCATGGAGGGGCTGGAGGACTGCTTGGAGCCCTGGCTGGGAGGCAGGAGCATGGGAGGCCAGCCGGCCCGGGGGCCGGGAGCGTGGGCAGCAGCTGGACGGGATTCCGGAAGCCTGGGCGGAGAAGTGCCCGTGATGCCTAGTCCCCCTCTTAAAATATGAAGACTCAATTATCTCTGAGCAGCTTGCTTTACACATGAATTGACACATTTATTTTACAATAAATAACTGAAAGTTATCTGTGTTTCCTTTACTGTTAATCTACACAGAGAAGTAATAAACAGGGCTTGTCTACAAAAATGCAACTGCCGCAGTCCTCAGAATTCAATTAAGCTAAAATAATTAATGCTCCCACCATATTAAATTACTTTATACATTTGAGCCACTGAAGTTTTATTCTTTAATCTTTCCTTTTTATTAAATAAAAAAAGAAAAGAAAAGTTGGTGCCCAAGTAGGCAGGGGAAATGGGAGAAATGGGAACTAGAAAGGCAGGCACATGACGTGCTGTTAAAATAGGATGGTCGTCTTCAGCTGACACAGCATGTAGACTGTTTTGTGCCTTTGATTAAAATAACATTTTAAATGCTTTGAACAAACATATCTCTTTAGACTTCTAAGGGATTATTTTACATATTTCTTCCAGAATGAAGAAATCCATTCGTCCTGTTGCTGAACAGAAAGGCCAAGAATATCTTTCGTCACACATAAAATAAAAATACTGTAGGCTGCTGCAGTATCACAACCCGGAAAGAAAAAAAACAGGGGGGCCAGGGGGTGGAAGGATGAGGACAAAGCTGCCTTGGAGATTAACTTTGCCTTTTATGAAATCACATTTAGTCGCTTTCTTAAACAAACCTGCCACAGTGCTCTGCAGCCTCTCATTGGGAAATGCCTTCAATGTGAAATGAGGATTTGGATGTTTCTGGCAAAAGCCACAGATCTTTCCATTGAAACATACATAGGTGGCAAGTCCACCTCCGAAAGGTCTAAGTGCCCCGAGGCCAGGCGCTGATGCTACAGGTGAAACTGGCCCTGGAGCGTCGGCCAACACAGACAAAAGGGACCCAGCCCCTCTCTCGCCTGATGGCTCAGCCTGGCGAGGAGACGCTGCTAGGGTGTGCACAGCCCTCAGAGAAGCCGGTGTTTACATGCCTGCGGCCTGGACATGTCAGAGATTTTTCTCAAAGCCCTTTGCATCTTGGAAGGCGTCTGAGAGGCTTCTCACTAAGGCACCCAGCAGAAGGCAAGGCCCAGAGGCCAAACCAGTCCACTGGGGTCTCCCCAGTGCCTGGCACGAGGCTGCGGGAATCTGTTTACCACCACAGCCTCCCTATAAGAAAGAGGGCTCACTCAGCCCCTTGTACAGGCGGGCAAAGTGAGGCTCAGCATCACAAAGCTTTGGAGATGTGGGGGAGACAGGCTGTGGCATCTGACTGCGTCCAGGGTGATGGGTGCTGACAAGTGCCCACGCCCGTCCGTCTCGCCCTCCTAGAAGCATCCAAAGCCTGAGTCCCTCCAGAGCCCATGCTGGCCTCCATGATGGAAGCACAGTCGTGATCAACGCCCTCGTTTCCCCAGCCAGCCACCTACTCGCACGCCGCAAAACCAGGAGACCCCCGAGAAAGAAGGGCCACTGGCAAAAAACTGATAGAGCCCCTGCTCATCGAATCCTCACACCAGGCCTGCTGGTATTATCTACATTCTGTTGACAGATGGGGAAACTGAGGCTCAGACCCATGAAGTGGCTAAGCCAAAGTCAACCATCAGGGTTGGAAGACTAGTCTGCATAAACTCTGATGTCCGTCTTGCTCCAGGACGCGCTACTGCTTTTGAGGGAACCCAGGCTGGCCGGGCCCTCCTTTCTCCCCCAGGCCTCCTGGGCTCAGAAGTATAAACCAGAAGCAAACACACCGGTTTACACAGAAAGCAGTGGCTCCCTGGAGGAGGCCCCAGCATGCCATGGCGCTGGCCAAGAGGGAGGGACTTCATGCTAACTCACTGCGGTGAGCAGAGCCATGCCTGGGGACAGAGGGGCCCTAGACCTGTTCTCAAGGTGGTAAAACCAGCTGTCCCAGTGGTCGAATGAGTGAGCATGTCAAAGGGCATGGCCAACCTCCTCCAACGGGCACAGTGCCCCAACAAGTTCCCACGCCCCCGCCTGGGACCAGCCCCTAGGGTCAGGCAACGTCAGAAGCAGTCTCTGAGATCAGAGGCCTAACTCCTCTTTCCACACATGGGAAACTGAGTCCAGAGAGAGAGGAGAGGGGAGAAAACGAGCACCCCCATTTGTAAGTCCCTACCCGGTCATGCCACATGCAACGGCTCATTGATCCTCACAGCAGCCCTAATGAGAGGGGTTTCCTTAGCTCCATTTCATAGATGGGCAAACTGACACGTCCAAGTTGTGAAGACAAATTCTAACCCAAGACTGTCTGTCTAGCTTCAAAATCACGGACTAAGCTGAGATCAGTAGAAAGAGAGGGCCAACCAGACTTCCAAATTTCCATTCTGTGCTTCTGACCACCTCTGGATTAGGCCCCGAGACAGAGTCCCCTCACCAAAAGCAGCCATCAGCTATTTGGGCCTCCCTAAGCCCCAGGCCTGTCTCCTCCTGAAGGTCACCTGGATGGTGGACCCTCAGAAAGGGGGAGCCCTGACTGGCAGCCCAGAGGCCATCCTGGAAGCCCCTGGGCCTTCCCCTGCACCAGCACACTCAAGCAGAGGGCGTGGGACCCGGGAGGTGGCTTCTGCAGCAACCAGCAAGCGCAGCGTCCCATACCTGCAATGTTCTCCTGCTTGGGACAGATGCCTTTCGTGGGCGAGAGCAGGTGGTCATCTTCGTCGGGGGTGACCTGGATCCCGATCTCCACCGGCTCGGACACTTTCCTGAGCTCGGAGCGTGAGGAGGGTGGCGGGCTGTCCTTGTCCAGGGCCTTGTCATAGCAGGCACCCAAGCTGCCGCCACACTGCTTCCTTTTGTGCTCTATAAAAACCAGGATGTCCCCCAAGGGGAAGTTCATTTGACACTGGCCACAGGTGAGCAGGTCAGGGTCGGGGCCACCCACCATCAGCCCCAGGCCACTCGGCTCCTCTATCTCCAGACCCTCGTCTTCTTCGAGGATGGCGGCCTCCACATGGTCAGCCTCTGCTGGAGACAGAAAGAAGAAAGGGAAGGGGCAGAGAAGATAGAGATGGGCTTAGGAGGTCACAGCACCCGACGTCCGGTCCACCCCTTCCCCACCGAGAAGCAGCCCCCTCCGCTGCCGGCTGCCAAAGCTCACCAGGTCCTCCCCGGGGCTGGGGACAGGTAGGCATCCCCCATGGGACAGATGGCCACGCCTAGGCTCTAGGAGCAACGTCAGGCCCCCTGGACATTGTCATGTAATTGGTGCTGATCTTACTGCACTCGCGTTTATTTTCTGCCAATTTCTTCCCAGCATAGCATAAGAATACACCCGGACAGGCGCGCATAGACACACACCCTGGCTGCTGACAGCATCAGGTCGTGATGAGACTCTCAAAGTTTTCAGTATCTGAGAATCACCTGGAGGCTTCGAAAAATCCCAAGGCCCAGGCGGCATCCCTGACCAATTACACTGGGAACCAAACATCGGAATATTCTTTCAGACTCCCCAGGTGGTTCCAATGGGCATCCAGGGCTGAGAACCAGGGAGCTGGAGCCCTCTTCGCCTGCTGGGCTAGAGCACCACCCCTCCTGTCCCTGACACCTTCATTCATGTCCTCCCCATTCATGCAAGTCCCACTCACATTCCTCTACCTGGGAACTGGCCACACACCAAACTAGAAAACAGAAACCCAGATGGGCGTCAGAGGGCCAGTCCGTAGGAGGGAAGGAAGCCCACATGCTCAGAAAGCAACAAGTGGGTGTCAGGTTCCAAAAAAATATCGAAGGAGGAAGCAGTGCAGCAGAAGGGAGGCTGGAACCGGCTTGCAGAGTTGGGAAGCGGGCTCTCCTGCCAAGCACCCGGGGCCCGGTCAGACTTCCATTTCTCTGTCGATTTCCCCACACTTATCCACTCCCCACTGCCCTTTTTTGTTGGCCGCTTTGATTTTCACTCCCAGAAAAACGAAAGAAAAAAAATTCTCCAGACTCCAAAAGCATTCTTGAAAGATATCAAACCACACTTTCAATGGACTGTATGTTTTTATATTTCTTTAGCAGCCGATAGATTTCTGTTGAGTTTTTTTTTTTTTTTTTTTTTTTTTTGGCAGGGGGAGGGGGTTGCTGGAGGGGTAGGACGTCTATGACCCAAATATTTGGAAGCTAATAAATGCCTCAAAAAGCAGCAACCTCCTCAAGGGAAAATTGGAAGACTCGGCAGCCGAAAGTGTCACAAATAAAGAGCAGTGGACACTGTGGAGGTTTCATATTCCCCTCGGGGTCTGAGCAAATTCAGGCTGGAATTTTTCAAGAGCAAATGTCAGTAGTTGCAGAGAAGGCACGAGTGGCAGGGTCTTCAGAGAAGCCAGAGGGCAGCCAAAGGTCTGAAACCCAAGGAGGCAGGTACATTTTGAGTTGTATGGTATTTAGGAAAGGATAATGAAAACCACAGAGGAACGGCGAGAAGGAACGGGAGGGAGGAAAATGCATTCCGTGGCAGTGAAGTTATTGAAGTGCCAGAGCCAAAGAACAGATAATTTAAGGAAAAAATTCTGTGGCATCTCCCATCCTACACATAAATCACTGTTCTCTATTTTCTGAACACGAGCTGATGCAGGGCCTAGGAGAGTCCTTGTGTGAAACTGAATACGAAATGTACGACGATACGTGACGTACAATGCACGCCCATGAACTCTGCGTGGATAGGTAGCGACGTAGGTAGTGCTGAGAAGAGAAACTACAATTTGAGATCCCACCTGTGGTTACAGAAAAGCAGACAGAGCCCTCGACGAATTAAATGTAGAATACATCAGAAATGTGGCAGTACAAAAACGCCCCACAGACGAGGAAATCCTAAATCTGTTGTCTGCATCTAACAAAAAGAACCTACAAGGTAAAGCAACAGTCCTCACAAAGCCCGTCCCAGAAACCATTAATTACACTTTAAAAAGAAATCGGAGTTTACTTAAAAAGGGGCTTGAAGACAATGCCACATAATTAATTTACCAATTTATTTTATGAAAAGATGCTTTGCTATGGTTAAAACGTAATCACAACCTTCCCTCTGAACAGAGGTTCTAGGAGAGACTGGATTCCTGTGAACGGTTTGTCAGAATGGAAAAGGTAATTATTTGGTGCCTCTTTTTCCCTTTAATGATCTAACATTGAGCAATACTGTTTATATTGAAAAGCTCGCACCTTTAATTACCAATTACATATACATAATTTCAGAGCCAAAGGAGAGAGCTGTAGGAACAGTTCTTTAGAAATATAAGGATGTATTGTGCGCCATTTTTACAGAAGGCGCTCTAATAAATGGGAGGAGGATGTCAAAATATTGTTTAGTTAAAAAATAGAGAGAGAGGCACAAAAGAAATGAGCTGAAAAGCAAAAACAGGACATAATGAAATCGAGAATTCAAAGGACGCAAGCAAGGTGCAGTACCTGGTACTATGTTAAATGCCACCCTGGGCAGGCGTGGCAAACTCCTGCAGCAATAGAAGATTTGATAAAAACAAACAACAACAAATCCACATGGCCAACTCAATCGTCCTTTCTGAGGCCGAAGAGGTTTTCTTGGTTTTTAAAAATTTAATCTTTGATTTACATTTTTGTTTGTGTTTTATTAACTTTTTCAGCCTCGTCCACCCTCGTGGGTAGGAGTGCCAGCAAGCCTGAATATCTCCTCTCTGCTAGGAGGTTGTCAGCCACATAATTTCATATTCACTTTCTAATTCAAAAGAAATGCCGACGAATTTAAAAATCAGCAGAGGTCACACATGCCTGTTCACAAGCACCCCTTCTTCCCAGCTCCCTCTTTTGCCAAGACTATGTACCAGCACTTTTTCCTTTCTCTCCTTTTTTTTTTTTTTTTATTTTTGGTAACATCTGGTATTCTTTCCCTCTTTTGGCAGCCTCTGCCTTTTCCCTTTCCTCATGCAGCAGCTCTGCAAGCCCCGTAATTGAGTTTGAAGGTGTCCAAAGCCGTTTGCTGGGCTGCAGCTTTGATTTCTGCGTCAAGTCCTAGCAGCCAAGCAACCTGGGTGCCAGGCCCTGCTGGCGTCCCCCAGACAGCCCCGGGATTGTCCAGGGCTCCAGGGCTCAGCCCTGAGCTGGGATCTCCACCTCCCAGACCAGCCATCCAACTCACTGCCTCTAAGGCAGTCCGGGAAGAAAACAAACAAACAAAAAAAATCTCCTTCCCTTCCCACTTTCAGCGCTGAAAGTCGAACCCCCTGACATGACAGGGTGTTCACCCGACTCCAAAGAATGGAGTTTCCTCTCCCCACCACCCAGGCTGTGGGACTGCACCTTGGCCTGCTATATGCAACGCTTCCCAGGAAGGCAGCAAGGTCGCTCCAGCATCAGGCAGCAGAGTCACCCCAAGCCCCAGATTTCTGGGTCAGAGCAAGTAGACCAAGGCAGCTCACTAGGCCTCAAAGCTCATGTTCAAGGCCTTCATAGACACCCCCAAAGATTGTGGTTTCATTTCCGCTGGCAGGCAGATACCAAGCTGAGCGTGTAGGGTGCCTGTGTATGTGTGTGTGTGTCCCTTCTTAGAACTGTATCAGTAATGGAAGAAATAAAGGGAGAAAAACATTTGTCCAAGCCCTGGCAAGGGCAAAGTGACACCCCTCTTTCTCTGCCCCATGGACACCTGAGTCTCCCGGCTCTGCACAGCCGCAAAGAACCAGGCCTCTGTTCTTACAGGCAGAGGGGTCCAACCTGCCACCCAGAGACAAAGAAGCACAGGAAAAAGACCCATGAAAACAGCCTTTCAAATTCCCAGACCCTACAAACCAGCCCCTCAGGCAGCCTTGTCCAGCAAACTCCGGCCTTACAAAAATAAAGCCAAGATGAAGTTCTCCTCTGAGATGATTTCTGCTTTCATGAAAAGCTCCCCAAGTGTCAGGCAGGCCTGCAAAATATTGCTGCTCTCAATATATTATGAGCCGAATAAAGTAGAGCAATTGCTAAAATGTTTGACTCATTAAGAGGAAAAATGAATGGATGCAGCAGGCAACTTGTTCGAATGTCAGATATCCGAGGGCTGGGGTGGATTCTGAAATGCTAACTCCTAAGTGCAGGGACAAATCTGTATTTACACACACACACACACACACACACACACACACACAAGTTAGGTTTTCTTTTACAACAAAACCACATTTTATTTACAAGGCCAGGCCTCCTCCCAGCTGGTAAATGCATTTAGAAGCAATGAAATCAGGCTTGACAAATAATAATGGACATCGTTGTTAAGTGAAGGGGGAAGCACTTGATCCCAAGACAAACTTCCCCATGGCTCAGCTTTGCTGGGAAGGAATTTGGGGCAGAAGACAGAAATGGAAAGACATCGTGAACACAGGCCCCTCCAAGCAGCCAGCAAGCCCCCAGCAGTTGCAAGCTTTCGGCAGGGCCTTACCTGGCTGGTGACTCCCCCACACACAGGGCACCAAGGGCCCCACCCGCCCTGGTCCATCTGTAACAACTGCCCATGCACCCGCCCTTAGGGGAACTCCAGCAAGAGGTCTGCTGCCTGCTGTCTCCAGAGCACGGGGTATGTGCATGGCTGCCTGCACACACACATGTGCATTGCTACATACACAGCACATAGATTGGTGTTCCTCCTCACCCTGCACTAATTCAGATCATCCCTCTTATCTTTAACGGCTAAGCTACAGTCCAGAAGAAATATACACAGAATTGTTGTTTCAGTGACGACGGGGGTGGGAAGGGGAAGGATGTGGGGGGAGGGGTGCCAGGCTCTTAAAATCGTGTGCCACCAACGTCACAACCGCCATCATGATGTGTACACATGTTTATAAGAAATGTTCAGCATCCATCCGCCTGAGCTCTGCATCCGACTGGAGACTTTACACCTGCTTCCTACGAAGACGGAGCTCCTGCCAGCAAGCCCAGGCTTACCCATAATCTACGAAGATATCTTTTCATCTCCTCTCCGTGAACATTTGGGGAGGGGCTGGGACTCCAGGCGACACCAAAACGCCACCACACGCACACTCGACGGAGCACAACACTTTCTGAGCTGCCATCCATTTCTAATTTATTGGATCCAAGAGAAAATAACAACAGTAAGGGTGGGGGAGGAGAAGGGTGGAAGGGGAGAGAGCGGGAATCAATTCTTGGTGGAGAAAATAATCTAGGACTAGATGATGCTTAAAGGCACGACAAGAGATTTTATGAAGTTCCCCTAACGGAGGGAATAATGAAGTGCCCAGCAGAGAAGGAAATAGAGATAAGAGGGATGCGGGTGTCAGGAGGATGTCCACGAGGGGTCTCGAAGAACCCTTTTTAGGACACAAGGTGGAGGTGGGGACCCTGGGAGGGCACAGCCAGGCGGAGTCTGAGCAAGAAGCATCACCCAGATCACCCCATCTCTGCCCTGACCCTCGGCGCTCTCAGTAGATGGTCAGAGGAGTCCAGCCTGCTCTGGGTCAGCTCAACACCCGTCTGACGGCCTCCAAAGGCTGCCTCCCTGAAAGGACAGATGCATACCACAGCCACCGCCCCACGAGGTCCTGTATGCTCCTCCTCAGCCAAGGCACACACCTCGATCGCCATTGCTGATGTGCGGGAGGGACAGCAAGGGAAGGCGGCCGATGCAAAACACGCTCCCCAGTGTGGGTTTCCCAGGAAAATGACCAGGGTACCACCGACTCTGCCAGCACCAGCGGGGGAAAGTTCGGGCCTGGCCTGCAGGCCAGGAGGGGGGAATTGCAGATCCATGAAGAGGTTTAGATACAGGAAGAGCCTCGCGCCCGTATCTCTGGTCTGTAGACCCCAGGCAGGAAAGTCAATGTCATGGGGAGGGCTTCCCTGCGTACAGGCCGTCTGCAGGACTCCAGCCTAATTTTAGGACGCTTAAGCAGTTGCCTGAAAAATATCCTCAGATGCTCTACGGAGTCCAACTGCCCTCTCTCCCCAGCTGCACACACCCAAAAATTGAGCCCAGGAGTCTGGGTCTCCCCAGCACAAGGGCAGAAAAAAGGAACCAGTGAATAAGGAAAACAGCACTCACGTATTTATTCACAGACCCCGGCCATTACTAAAAGGTTAGGAATAAAAGGCTTGACAAATAAAATAGGTGCTTTAGAGGAAAAGATTTACCACAATAGCAATCCTTCTCAACACATTTAGCAGGTTCCATAAAACTGCAAATGCCTTAAATCTTCAGAGCCACCACGGGCTCCTAATGACGTGATATAAAAGCACTCTTTGTGGCCAAATGAAGAGATTTGTTTTTATTTAATGCGATGCTTTTTTCAAAGGTGTGGAAGAAAAGGCTTCCACACAGGACACCGGACCTCAAGGCTTTAGCTGGAGAGTTTGGATTCTCTGAGGCTAACAGCAAACAGCAAGGGCAGGAGTGCTTTCAACATCTCTTTTCCAAGGTAGGAATTTACACATGACCCCCCACACGCTTTTTTTTTTTTTATTCTTAGCAGTGCATCCATTTCTGAGGCACACGTTAATCACCACAATATTGGCATTCAACTTTTCTTGAGTCATTTCTGCGTGTGGTTTTAGTAGAAAACTCATTAGAACATTTCACAAATGTATTTGTATTTCAGCAGTTCCATGGAAGGGGGTCATAAAAAAGAAGTTATGTAAAAGAGAGGGTTTTTTTTTTTCTTTTTTTACTTTGAATTGACTTAATTTTGTGTGGTCTGAGATTTCATTACAGTAAAATTGCTCAGGCTGACTAATTCAACACCCAAGCAAATTATCAGCTGCCACAAGGAAAAGAAAAAAGAATGAATTTCTTGAATTTCAGCAACTGCACAAAAGACTTGCATATGTCAAAATGCTGGACCAAAGTCCTGTGAATGTGGCACCATTCATGAAACCTCCATCTAGTGTCACTTTTGCCAGTTAAAAACGAGGCTGCTCTGCTCACCCTCCTCACTGGCTTGTGCAGAAAATGCAAGAAATGTGTGCTTCTATTTCCACGAGTCTCTCGGCACTTTTTACCCACGTCTTGGGAAACCTACTGCTCCAGGGAGGCAGTCAGCACACCGCATTTCTTGGGGAGGGATGGAGAAACAGGGGATACCAAGCCTGAGCACATCTCCCTGACATTTGGCTCCCTGGGACCTGAAGGAAGATGAGCAGGATCAGGGTGCAGGGACAGGACAGAGCCCACAGGACCTCAGGCCGAACGGTGTGAGTCAGAAGAGCGCTGCAAAGTGACAAAGCATACTCGCGGCAGCTGGATGACACGACAGTCATTCCTAGTGTTCTTCTGTGCCCCTCCCCATTAATAATCACAAAGTGTGTCTGCAGCTAACACCATCTTCAGGGAAGGATGCTCAGCCGGTATCAGTAACTCGACCATGGGGTGCAGGGTACAATCCCCAAAGGGCATTTATTTTCTCCTTGTCCTCCCCAGATGTGACATTCACCTAGAGCCCAAAGTCCTTGGACAGTTTCAGCTAGAGGTGAGGCCTAACCAGGCAGCCAGAGGGTCTGTCCTTAAGCCATGGGAGATGAAGGAGAGTCAAGAACCTGCCCCCCCATTCCCTCCCCCCATATATTTTTTTCTTGCATTGTCTTATCTGTGATCTGTGTTTAGTTACAGCTTGTGAAACTCCCCTGAGTTCTAAGGTTAAGGATTGCAGATTACTAAGCTGATTTTTTTTAACGGTTTTCTGCAGCCCAGAGGCCACTGCCCAGCCCAAGACTTTGAGGTGACCGTGCTCTTCATCTCTGAGTGGTCCAGTGAGCTGGCTGCCACTACATGCTTACGACTCGCTCGATTCAAACATTAAATGAAGTAGAGAAATCATCAGATAAATTGCTGGCCCTCTGTACCGGAGAGTGAAGGCTCTTTCTCCAGCTGACGACAGCGCTGGGCTTTTGTCTGACCTAATTTATTTCTCTTTCAGGTTAGAATAAAGCACTCTTTCCTGTCGCAGGGTAACCTCTTCTGCTCATATATTGAACTCTAGCATAAGACTCAGGGTGCAGTCTGCAGATTTCTTGAACTTGGAAAAGAAGACATTATAAATCTGGAAATCCTGTGATCAAAAGCACATATATTCCCCAGCACTAAATTACATGTTTAGGGAAGAATCGTCTCATTAAAAGCCATCCATAAAGAACAACTGTTTGGGGTAAAAGATATGACCAGCACAGGCTCTGGTAATCACATCCTCTTACAAACAAAGTTTTACATGTTATTTGAGTGGGCATTTTAAATCTTTGGGGAACGGTGCTATTTCCCTAGTACGGTGGGAACATTACCTAATAAATGGAATCGAGAATCCAAGTGTTATAAAATCTGAGCTAAAAGGATTTCCATTCATCAAGCTGTTTTAGGTACACGACTCCCAAAAGCAGCGATTCTCGACTGTTCCCTGGGTCTGTGACATGTGACACAGAAATTAGCAGTGTGCCTTACCCAAAATGATGTGCGCTCTTCCCAGACCCCTCCACCAGCCCGGTCACCGGCGCCTCAACAACGCAACAGAATTTTCAGAATGTCAAGACCACAGACGAATCAGGGAAAACACACCCATTCAAAACTCACAATTTTAATTCTTATAAAAAAGAAAGAAAATCAAAGAAAAAGAAAATCCCCCCCCCATCTGCCAAGTGAGGGCTTGTAAATCAATGGCGATAGCTTGAAAATAGATTTCTCAAACTTATATTCTCATTTTGTCCTGCACGAATCTCTGCAGGAAAATCAATATTACAACTTCCCACTTAAGACATTTTGCAGCAACGTAAACTGCCGCCGCTGCTGATGGAAGCCCGTTCCTAGCCCATTGTAGCGGAGGCGCCAAGCCATGACACGGGCACCGAGCT